TTCCAGACCAGCTTGGCCGCTGACTTGCTGTAGGACCCTTGCTAGTCTTTTCACCTCTGTGGATCCTAGTGTCCTGAGCTGTGAAATGGGGGAGCCAGATGAGGACACTTCTGAAATCCCTCCCACCTCCAGCATGCTACAGTTCTGTGTGGCGATGCTCCAGCCCAGGTTTCTCAGCCCTGGCACTATGGACATATTAGGCCAGACTATTTTTCGTTGGGGGGCTGTCCTAACCCTGGCCTCAACCCACTAGATGCTAGTAGCATTCCCTAGCCCAGTGGTGACAACCAAAGATGTCTCCAGACAGTGCCAAACGACTGGCAGGGTGGGCAATGCAGGACCTCTAGTCACTGCCAAAGGATTTCAATAAGGTCAAGATCATGAATGGTTCAGCAGCAAAATGTCTGCCTGTCCCCAAATCCTTCACACCTCTCTACTTTTCCAATGCAGCCTCCAAGTCCTTTGCTGCTTCTCATTTCTTAAATGCTCTAAGTGGTCCAGGGTGTGTTGGGTGTGATAATGAGCCAATTGATTTCATACTTTTTCCTAAGCAGAGTTCACAGGTTTATGTCCCCTAAGCAACCAGTCAGGCTCCCCAGAAATCCCTCATAGAGCCCCGGCTGGCTTGGAAGCCTGTATCTGCAGCCTGCAGGAGGCTCGGTGAGCACGCATTTGTCAGCACTCTTAAATCACTGGGCTCCGAGGAAGGCTTCTCCCAGCACAAAGATCCTTCCTTAGGAATCAATAGCTCAGGGCCCTTCATCACATTCAGAATTATCCTGGGATCGGTAAAATTTCTTTTCCCCAAGTATGGCAGAACCCCCAAATGAAAACGCCAAGGTGAGGGAGGGGAGAAGGCAAGGACAGAGGCCTGCCAGGAAGGCCTTGTCCATCAGCCCAGATGTTGCTGTGAGCAGAGGCTGATGTGCAACCCTGGATACTCAGCCTCGCTTGCTTGGAAAAGGAAGACTCAGTGTGGTTCCCAGTGATCCTGCAATAATATCTCTTTCCAGCTGAATATCTCCTTACATCTTGCCAAGGGCAGAGGCATTTTAAGAATATCTTCCTCAATCTTCACTATTCTACCCTTATCACAGGGTTGCCAGCTTCACCATTTTACAAAGGAGGAAACTGAGGCATGCAGAGGTTAAGCAGTTTGTCCAAGGTCTCTGAGCCAGTAAGTGAGGGAGCCAGATTCTAAGCCTATGTCCCTTCTACTACACTGGGGTGCCTTCCCAATGAGAGTAGGGTAACTAAGGGTCAGCCATCTAGTGGGGCTCATGAAAAGGGTGACTTCTTATTTTTCAGGGTCTAATGCCACTTCTTAAACTCTATGTCCTCTCCCCAGTCAACCAAAAATCCAGAGATCTGGTGCTCTAGACATATTTCATGTATTATATTCCTCTCCATATCCAGACTAGACCAAGCCTTGGGAATGCAGGCACGTTTCTTCAGCTAGAGCCAGGAGCTGGCACAGATCTCAAGCACAGCCTCTCAGAACCCCACTTCCTAAAGGAAGGTTGCTCTCTGGGGGTCCACATAATCTTACTACCTCCCTCCTCCCCCTGAAAACTAAGACCCAACTTGCCTGTGAGCCTGAAGGAGAAGAGGAAACTCAAGCATCTTTCCTGGCAACAGGCATCCCTTGGGTGAGCTTTAGGGACAGAAGAGGATCTGGCTGTCAGAATTCTGGCTTTGGCAGCACTGGTTCCTCCTGAGGGTCACCACTGAGTCTGCTGAGACTCCGAGGGGACCCCTGAGGAGCTCTATACCGTGTGCAAAGGAACAGGGTGGTGAGAAGAAACGGAGGGGCGGCCCACAGACCACTCAAGGCTTCTTCCCTGGGCCCAGCTCAGATGTCGACAGACTCACAGAACAGAAAAAGGGCAGTGGAAATTGTAGTATCTTCCAGGTCACCCAAGAAGCCCTAACATGAGGATTTTGCAAAAATAGAACAACCTAGCACTCTGCCCTTGAGCTGGGAGCAGCAAAGATGGGGAAATGGGCAAATAATGGTTGGGAACTCTCCACTTCACCCAGGATCTGAGTACTAGAGGTGCCCCAGGCAGTGGTGTGATGCAGGACTGGGAGAGCGTACGGCAGCATGCCCTAATGAGAGAAAGGAAGAGCTCTGGCCTGGCTTCCACGACCACAGTAAGGGACTGGGCACTTCTGATTCCTCCATGCATGGACTGAGAACTGGAGTTGTTTTGTTTCTGCCTAAAAGACTGCTTGGAATAACGAGATAAGATAGTAGATGGAAGGGAAAAAACAATTCGGAATTTCTATTATATGTATATGTACATTACAAGAACTTTACCTGCTCCTCGCTCTGAATAATTGATTTGAAGGAAATTTCCCCCAATTTACTAAATTTATTAATTTACCAATGTCAGCAATTATAAGTATCTAGTGTGCTGAGAATACACATCCATCTCCACAGTAAAGAAGATCACAGGATTGGAAAGAGCTCTGCGTAGACAACTGGGAATCCTGAGACCTAGTCCAATGTCTTCCACCAGATAGCCATGTGACCTTGGGCCAGACACTTGACCTGACTGGGCTTCAGCTTTCTCATCTGTAAATTAAGTATGCATGAGTGTTGGGAATGGGATGAGGTTGGACTAGATGCTCCTCAAGGATCCTCCTTTCTAGCCCTAATGTTCTTGGACTCCATGAGCTCCTAACGAATTCAAAGGACCCACCAGAACCAAGCACAGAGGAATGATTTCAGAGAGCCAGTGGGACTGAGCACCAGCTCTTTCCCTGGAACGTTGTGCGTGCACCTGCCCCATTGCACCTGAGATCACAGGACCACCTGATGTCTAGGAAGCCTGTGGTAGCAGGGCTCCTATCATGAAGGTGAGGGCTGGGGGCTGTGGCCTGGGCTTGCCCAAAGTGTTTGGTTACCATGGTCAGTGAAGGGCAAGAAGAGGGAAAGTCAGTGGTCTTGAGCTGGGTGCCTTTGGCGCCCCCTACTGGACACCAAGGAGCCTGCTCCACCTTTAACCCTCCATCACCTCTGCAGGCAGCAAGAAAGATTGACAACAGGAGACTGTCATAAGCACTTTCATAGCACTGCCTTTGTGGTCCGTGGTCCTCTCTCCACAACAGTATGACTCCCTAGAATGACACAGGCGTTTGGTCCACACATTCACAGGGGCACTCCTGTGCAGCGATAGGACGTCTTAAGCAAACATCAAGGTGCCAAGGAATAAACATCAGGGTTCGGAACGCCAGGTGCAACCCAGATGGCGAGAAGGGAAGAAAGAGCAACGAGCAGATATCTCGCTGCACAAATCCCCCGTGGAGAGAAGGTGTTGGGAAACGCAGCAGAAAAATGTTGACTGCAGGCAGAGGATGGAGCTGGGTTTGGGGGTATGGGTTGATAACCCCCATAGAAGATCTCCAGGCTGAAGCAGCTACCCTAGGAGTTCAAAACACCCACCGTGTTCAGGAATGGGGTACAGGTGAAGGATACACCCCAACTGAGCAGCATGCCTTTGACCTTCTCCAGAGTCCATTAGTGCCAACTGGAAGTCAGAATATTCTAATTGTGGTCCACCGTGCCAGCATCAAGACCCTAAACTCCCTTCATTGCTTCTTAAACTGACTTTAGGACCTGCTGCCAAAATGATGTTCTTAAGTCAGAGGGAGAGAAAATGCTTTCTCAAGAGCTATATTGGAAGAACCGCCATGTTCCCGCTTTTCCATCCTCCATCTCCCCTTCCTCATGGCCGAGAGTGAGGTACAGCATGACTCTGAATTTGCTCTGATTCAGTCTTGGGTATCTCCAGCCCCAATTCATCAGGGTAAAAAAAAAAAAAATCTCCCATCAGTAGCAATTCTCTTCCCCAGTGAGTTCTCCCCTGAATCCCGACAGCACTACAGAGCTGTCCCCTATTCTTGGAACCCTTTTCCCTTCTTTTCCACCTGGCTTCACTTGAGAAGTCCTGCACCCATCCCAGAAGACATCTCAAGTGTGACTCAAGAATGTGTCCTGCCTGGAGGGCTGAAGTACCTCCTGGGACGCACAGAAGCCACACTAGGTGCACACCCCACCACCACCGCCAGCAATATTCATTAGTCATTCCCGGAGGAAGGGGAGTCCCCCCCTCCCAACTCCAGGAGCATTCCCCGACCACTCTGGGAGCCTCCCATCCAGGCTGGGATGACTTTGGATTCTTGAGTTGGTTTCTGCAGAAACGGGACTAACCAGGGCTCCCAACTACTGTAGTGCGAAGAGGCGCGCTGCATTGTTGGGCATGCCCCCAAGCCTGGCCTGCTGCCCCATCAAAGCCTCCACGTGCCCCAAAGGGCGGAGGAGGACCCCCGGCTCCCCCGGAATGCCTGAAGCTGGTTTGCCCGAGACAGGCTGCGAGCGAGGAGACCACACCTCGGTCCAGCAAAGGCAGCTGGCGGCTACGCCGCTCGCGGGGCTAGCTCCCGGAGCTCTCTGCCACCCAGAGCTGTGCCTAGGAGCTCGGCTTCCCCGGGGAAGAAGCGCCAGATCCCCGGGGCTCTTCTCCATCCTGGCAGCATAGTCACCCGAGGCCGGTGGCTTCCCCGGCCCAAGGCTGAGCCCCGCTGGGTGACTCCCAAATACCCCCGGCACATCCCTCCTCACCTGCTCCGCCGCCGACGCAGCCCCAGGGCCCCCTCCCCAAACGGCTGACCTCCAGCGCGCCCCCAGCACCTTCCCCGCCAGCTGGGGGGGCTGTGGTCCGCACACCCCCGCTCCCACCTCTCCTCCACCTCCAGCTCCGCGCCCGCCTCGCCCCCAGCCCGCGGGGGAGGCTTGGCGCGCTGGTTGGGTCCTGAGCCTCTCCGCAAGTTGGAAGCACAGCCGCCGCCGCCGCCGCCGCCTTCGGTGGCGGTGTCCGTCTTCCCGGTTCCCCCGCGGCGTCCCCGCCACCCCTGCGGGCGGGTCGGGAGGGGCGTACAGGGCGGGAGAAACTTTCTCCGCCTGAGGGAGTGGGGGCACTGGAGCGGGTACTCACGCCGAGGTCAGCGCTCAGAGCCATCTTCGGGCTCTCTCAGCCCCACCTGGGGACGTCGGAGCGCGGGCGCTCGCTGCCGCCGCCGCCGCCTTCCAGCTCCCAGCCCCGGTCCCGGGCTGGCCTCGAGTCTCCCGCCGCCACCGCTCGCTCGCTTTATACAACTCCACTCGAGCGCGCCCGGGCTTATGTAAAGGCTGGCGGAGACCCGCAGCCAATGGCGCTGCAGCTGGAGCGGGGGGGCCCCGGGCGGGGGGCGCCCGCGCGGCCAATCGCGGCGCGGGGAGCGCGGGCAGCCGGTGGGGGAGGGGACGCTTCCCAGCGCTGATTTAGGAGCGGGGATTGCGGTGGCAGCAGCCGGCAGCCCGGCCGGCCCCGCGCGCCGCGGCGGGCGCTGGGGTGGGCGGCGGCGCAGGCGGCAGCGAGGGCGGACGCCCCCTGCACCCCGTCGCTGCGTCGCCTAACCTTCAGGAGGCAGCAGGGCCTGGCGAGGAGGGGCGAGGCGAGGGCGTCTGGCCGGGCGCTGGGGGCCCCGGGCCGGCGGGAAGCGAGGGTCCCTCGGGAGGAAGCGCCGAGCTAGAAGGCCAGGGGGAGGGGAGGGAGGCGAGCCCCGGGGCCCCGCGGGCACCCCAGCGCCCAGGGCCGAGGGTGGCGGCGCGAGCGGCGGCGCTGCCTTGCCTTTCCCCCCGAAGATAGCGATCTGGCGTCGGCGGGCTGGCCGGAACGGCCGCGCGAGGCGCGCTGATGGCGAGATTTCGCGCTGCGGAGCGAGCGCCGAGCCGATCTTTATCCGGCCTGGGAACGTGTCCGAGCGCCTCCCGGGGACCGCTCAGTATGGAGAGCTGAGCTGAGCTTCGCGACGGCCCCAGAGGGCGGGGAGAGGGCGAGCACAGCTCCGAGACCAGGCGCGGCGGAGGAGGCGGTGGCGGGCCGCGTCCTCTCTTCCCCACCCCCACCCCGCTCGCCGCCGGCTGTGCCCCCACCCCACCCCGCCGTGCCTCCGCCCCAGCAGAGCTGGGGCTGAGCTTAATCCGGGGTCCCGCAGTAGGCCCACCCGCCCTGGTCTTTCCAGCCTCCCTCACCGCTCTGCTCACAGGTCCTGCTAACCCCCTCCTCGACCCGCAGCCCGCTGCGGTGGCCGGGATGGTCTCAGCCTCCCTGGACCAGGGGTCACGCGGGCCAAACTTGGGAAGAATGAGCTAAGTCAGCAGTGCCCAAAATACCCGTGTACTGGGCAGGAAACGGGCCTAGATCGATAACACTCTGAAGACAAGTCCTTTGTTTTGCACCTAGAATAGAGCCTGGCACAGAGAGGATTTACTAAATGAATTGTGAGCTTCCTTGAGTAAGTCTTTGGGTTTTGGAAAGCTGGGGCACGCACGGGGCTCTGGAAGAGAAAGACCTGGGGATACGCCGTCGGAGAGGGAGGGAGCTAGGACTGTTTTCCCATCTACTGATGCCTTTATACCGTCCCTCTGGCTTCTGGGCACTTAACTCTTAAAACGATTCCAATGGTTTTTTGTTGTTGTTTTGTTTTTTTATGGAGGCCCCCTGCCAACTAGCCCCTAGCCCTAGTTATCCCCAGATTTTGAGCAGAACTTCCAAGCCTACTTTGGCCCTGTTTTCAGGTCTCTGTGACCGTCCCCTGCAAAGAAATAGCTAAGCATAGGCAATATTTCTAGCTTTTGGGCCGTGGAACTAGCTCAGGTTCTTAGTCCTTTGAGGGTTGTGGACCCTTTTGAGAATCTGGCGAGAACTGTGGAATCCTTCCTCCAAAAAAATATACAAACACATATATGGGCAAGCACATCTCCGAGTATCACCTCATGATCATTAGGGATCTCAAGTCTTTACTGGGGCTCTGCCCAATGTCAACCTGTTTCTCTAGGGGTCTAGGGTGGTAGCTTATAATCATTTCCCTTTGGGGGGATCAAAAGAACCCTTCTGAAATTTTCAAGATTCTGATTAATGTTATGGGTTTGTTTCTCAGAAAAATGCTCAATCATATACTCGCATACACGGTGCCCTGCAAAGTTAGGGGGTTCGTGGATGCTTAAAATTTAATCTAAGACCCCAAATGAAGAACCTTCACTTAGCAGCAAATAAACTCCGTCCCAAGGACACACCTGATTCCCAGCTCTTTCCATAAAAAGTCCAGTCTGCTCTGCACCCTGTGGCATGACTACCCCACTGTGTTCAGAGGGCATCTGAGTCAGATGGTGATGGCCCTGGCACCTGAGAAGCCATCTCCACACTTGTTTCTGCATCTTGGTCCCCGCCATCCTCTTAGTGTGGAGATAAGTTGCAGGTTGTCATGTTCTGTCTGATCAATGAGCATCCCTTAGCCAGAAACTCCAACTCAGGGAGATAGCAAGTGACTGGTAATTAACCAGTTTCACTCAATCCCAAGCACCTGAGCACACCTTTCTTGGTTTTTGTTCTCACCTCTCTCTGCCAGAGAAGCTGTGAGCAGCAGCTCCAGCTGTGGAGCCTCACCTCGCCCAAACCCGACGGATTTAGTAACCAGTGCAGGGATTATCAGCATTAGCCATCCAGATGTGAATAGGCTGCCTGCACAAAACAGCTCTATGATGATGTCATATTTTCCTGCAGCTAGCCAAGTAAGGGTGCAACAGACCAGAGGTGCTGGGGAAGGACAGAGAAATGCAGGAAATGACAGAGACATTCTTTCCAGGAAGTTCTCCAGGGAATACAATCTGGTTTCTGCACTTGAACTTGTGAGGGTTGAGCCAGTGAGCCAGGCAGACCTGGTACTATAATTTCGAATTCCTCTAATGTCCTCCACATCCATTCACTCAGTTCATGTCTGTGTCCACTCAGAGTCCAGCCCTGCCCTGCCTGTCTCATTGTAGGCGTCTTGCCTACAAACTGCCCAGACATACCCTGCTTTCTTGGGACACAGGCACACTGTTATGGACTGAATTTGCCACCCCTCCCACCCCAATTCATATGTTGAAGCCTTAACTTCCAATGTGACTGTATTTGGAGATAGAGCCTTTAAGGAGGTAATTAAGGTTAAATGAGGTCATAGGGTAGAACCCTAATCCTTAGGATTGGTGTCCTCATAAGAAAATAAAGAAACACCGGAGGCTTCCCTCTCTCTCTCTGCACGTGGACAGAAGAAAGGTCATGTGAGGACACAGACAGAAGCAGCCATCTATAAGCCAAGGAGAAAGGCCTCTGAGGAGACCAAACTTGCTGGGGCTTTGATCTGGGACTTCCAGCCTCCAAAGTGAGAAAATGAAGCCAAGTCTAAGCCATTCCTGTGTGGCGTTTTGTTATGACCACACGAGCAGACTAAGACACACATGTTGTCAACACACTCCTTACCCAGTCCAGCCAGTTCAGTCTCCTCCCAATACCCTGACTCCAGCCTTCTCCACTCTAGTCAAGTCTCTCTCCATATCATCTTCCCACAAACATTGTCCATTCTTATCTGGGAGACTTGCCTAAGATGTTTTCTCATCTTCTGACACCCAAACAAAGTCTCACCTCCCAAACCACCTTCCCAGACTGCTCTGGCCAGTGAGCTTTGCCTTTTCTGCTCTGTTGCTGGTCAGCAACTTCTTAGCACTCTATAACGCATATTGTCCAGTTTTCTAATTATTTCTTGTGCGTAAAACTTGGCCATCCTATCAGAATGGAAGCCCCTTTAAGTCCAGAGTTTGTACCTTACACTTGACCACTTCATAGAAGCCAGCATGAAACTGGGCACGGAGGGAACACACAGTGTTTGCTGATTAATTTATTCCAATTAAACACACTTTAAAAAATACCAGAAAGGTTATGTGGCGTTACATTTTCTAAAAGCTCAAGATATCTCGTGTGTGTCGTTTCAATTATCTTGAAAGTTTATTGGAGCGGGGGCTCTTGGGAACCAGCTTGCCCCTATAGTTCAGCCTCAGACGGGTTATGCAAGTCAGCCCTTCTTTCTCCACATCAGAAGATTTGCTATCCTTGCTTTCCTTGTCACCCTCACTGATCCACCTGGCTGTCTTCTCATTCTCCAGATGGAAAGAAAAGGCCAGGGAATCTCAGATCTTAGAGATGCTTTTGTTCCAACAGATCTGCTGCTAAAGAACAGAGAGGTTGCTACAGTTCCTCAAGCCCTTATCTGAAGCCCTTGAGGCCAAATGGGGTTTTAGAATTCAGAAAGGTACCATACATTCTGAGACATCCCCAGTGAGGTCTCGGGCAGCATCTCTTAATGGGATTCACGACTATTTCTGCAGTAAAACTATGAATGTTCTCACGAAGCAGGTGTGAGGATAAAGTAGCTTCACACCAGTTCAGGTCAGGTTTTGTCACCAGATGAGTTTTGGCACCAAACCCGCAAGCAAAACAAAACAAAAATGCACCTCTTGACTTTCAGAGATTTGAGAACTTGAAATTGCAGATGAGGGATTGTGGAATTAGGCTTGGTTATCCCCAAAGAAATGAATGTTTTCGTGAGGGTGTGGGAAGGCAGCAGTAGTAACGAATGAGAAACCGAAACCTGTGCAAGAAGTGAGGAGTATGAGGCAGAGTGAGGAAACAGCTCCTTCTCCAGCCAACTTGTACTGCGCTGTAGTCCCTTTATTCTAAGGAACACATATTTATTGGATGGCTGGTGAGTTCCAGATGCACTTGTGTTAACAGTGGCTTGTAAAGTGATAGATGCACAAAATGGACCCAGGAGGGGAGGCAAGTAGGGGCGAAGTGCAGAAGCTCTTATAGAGAAGCCACAAACCATGGTGGGCTTCCAACTGGCCAGAGAGAGCTAATTCAGAACAGCTTAGAACGGGAGTGCCTGCTATACGAAACTTCTCCAGGTAGAGAGAGGGCAGACCTGGGAAGGGAGACCAGAAAAGGGAGAACATTACGAAATCCTAGAGAAGCTGGTTAGAAAGGTCAGGGCCTTTTGGGGCTGGGGGGAGTCTGGGAGCAACGCTGCAGGCAGACATCTGACAATCATGTTATTCTGTACCTAGTTCGCTTGGGTGCTTTGAAGTTTTCCCACTCTGTAGGGGGGTGGCTTTTCAATCTGACGGGCCAGCTGAGAGTATGACAGGGGACAAGGCAAGACCATGGTGAACCCCTGAGTGCACAGCTCTCCACCGCTGCTTGAGATGCCCAGCCAGCAATACCGTTCATGATCAGGAGGCTCCCTGGAGCCCAAGGTCAGCAGCAGGAAAGCTTCATCTTGAATCTTAAGGCTACCCTTGTGGCTGACCTTGGTCCTGCCTTGCCTTTGCTCCTGCTCTTACCTTCTGACAGAGCTCTGTCTGATACTCCCAGCTCCAGTAGGTGGGTCTCTATTGCATTCTCCCATCCTAGTACCCAACCACGTGACCCAGGTTTTCAGG